ACAGAAGATTTTAGAGTCCCATCATACAATTCATCGTAGATGATTCGTAGAATAGCAACGTATCAGTTAGACATAATCATATATTTTCAAACTGCCAGCAGCATGATCGCAGTTTCATCGTCTTTAGATCCTTTAGGTATGAAGAATTAATGACAGAATTAATCCTTCATGTAAACAGTTGTAAACAACTGAAATATATGTTTCATATGTGATTCTACCACTTCGTGCTGAAAGTTTTTAAAAACTCATATTACAGTTCATTGCTGAAATCAATCGTTATACAACAGCTTACAATAAACCGAATGAAGGATATGATCGTGTGCTGGAGATAATGCAAGACTACTTCACAAGACGATCACCCACAAATACGGAATATGTAAGTTGATTGCAGTCTCATCATCTTTGCACGTTTCAAACTGTCGGGTCACCGTTCGTTGGTCACAAGGGAACTTCAAACTGCGTTTCAAAAGTTCCACTTTACTTCAGGCGTTTTCTTGTCATCGAGCACATATTGACGCTATCATTTGCAAAAACGCTAAATGATTGACATATCAAAATAAACACGGAGAAACATAACATTCATTCCAAAACGTATGAAGGTGAAGTGAACAGTCGTGAGAAAAGAACTAACTACAAGTGAATTCAGCGAACATTATGCACAGACTCCAGTGAAAGGTTGCCTTACAATTGGTAAAAAATGCAATCGACCTATAGAACGAGATCGCCTCCTTGACGTCTTACAAGCCTTTTTCAATTTTTTTAATCGGTTCATGCATCACTGTTCAAGCATATTTGTCTTCAATATCGTTCGTTGGTCACAAAAAATTTTCTCCCTTCCATTGGTACGCTGAAAGTGGTTCATTGAGTGTGATCGTGATAAAGTGAAAAGATGACGATCTGGTTTCGAGAAGGAAAACGTTCGCTGAATCGCAGGAAAAAGAAGAAAAACGTATGGTGATGTCAATTACAATTAAATTTTTTCTAAAGGATGGAACACTCATAAAACCAACAATATTTGGTGCAAACGATGAACTCGTGGCAAACCGTGAGATAACAGGAAATCTATTCGAGAACGATATGGCACTCACAGTGGCACAAATGCTGCAAGCCACTTCACCACAACAAAGCCGATTTCGACGGAAAGTGATTGCAGATCCTAAACTGAGGTGGAAGGGTGCAGTTGTACCTTACTACTTCAGTGATCCGGATAGTGAGTGTTTGTATCTAATTACAGATCTCTCATATGATTGAATTCTACGTGCACATCTCATAAACAGCTCTACAACATTAATCTTTTGTTGATTTATTTCGTTGCGTGAACTCTCTCATTTTTACTATGTTTGAAAAATGAAAAAGATGATGTGCATGTTGAAAGGCTGTCACTTATATTGCTTGGTTACGAAATGAATCGAGGAGTGGACCGTAATTCGATAAAGGCCCATATTAATTCGCTTTGATTATGGCAAATTTTAGAAGCGTGGCAGAGGAGAATCAAAAATACGTTAAACTATTATGAGAACGAAACGTGCGTTCGATTCGTTGAGAGATCGGATGCAACCGATTTTATTTATTTTCTCAAAGGCAAAGGGTCAGTTTTTATTGTGTCTCAATTACAGCGCGATCAAACTGATCAGTTTTCTTTATTTAGTGCCATCAACGGGTGTACAGAGAACAAGCCATTCATATCATTGAAAGTGAATAATATTCATTTGCGGAAGGGAGCTATGGTAAAAACAGTTCATTTCAGATGTTTTTCTGCAGTTGGAAAGCTTGGAGGAAGTCAACCGCTTTCCGTTGGTTTGGGTTGTGAATCCGTTAGTGAACTTCTGCTTGCGATCATCATCGATTGTTTCGCATTCAAATTTCATCAATATTTTGGACACTGAACTTTGTAGTTATAAGTCATAATGAACAGTAAAAATCAGTACAGCAAAGAGATACTGTGCCAAATACCGTCTGCAACATTTCGTCGGAGAACGAGGCAAAAAAAGAGAGCGATTGTTTATTATTCGAGTCACGTTATTATTTCGAGCACAACTCAGAAACTGCGCTCGTTTTCAGTTGGGTGTAATCTCGCATGAAATCGGTCATGCTCTCGGCTTTGTTCACGAGCAAGAGCGACCAGAAAGAGATTCTTATGTGCGCATCAACCTTCAGTATGCAATTCCTGGAACCGAAGGCAATTTCGATAAAAGGCCTCTTGGGACTACAGTCGACCTCGGTGTGCCGTATGATCTCGGCTCTGTCATGCATTACGCATCTACCGTAAGATCAACTTTTCCCGAATATCTCTTCGTTGTTTATATCATATATAATAAACTGACTTCATTCATCTCGTTATATGTGACTTTTTGATCTGTTTGCTTATTACTAAAAATTTATTGTCACATGGGAGTGCTGGCAATCACTCACAATGATCCCAACAGATATTGTAAATTCAATTATAATAGGTTGATGAGAATCACTTTATCGGTGCTAATTCTTTGAAGGCATTTACGTTTGAAAGCCTGAGGCACACGGTCGATCCAATCGATACAAAATATAGATCTACAGTTGGAAATCGTGTGGCGCCGTCATTCACAGACATTAAACAAATAAATCGTGCCTATTGCGCCGGTCTGTTAAGTATTCATCATTCTCTCAAGACTTCNTAACAGAGCTACTAGCGTAAAAACATCTCAAGACTATGAAATATTACGAAATTTCACCTAGCCAGGCCAGGATCCTCATGATTGACAACGTTTTTTGATGTTAAAGTGTGAGGAGTATCAAAATTGTTTGGAAATAAACGCAGACACGAATGAGTTAGAATAAATTAATTGATCATTCTCATGGTCATGGATAAACAACGCATTCTCCTGGCTAGTATCTATTTTGCAACCTAACTGAGGAAACTATTTGTTCCATACTGATGAGCTGTACGGATTGTTGCTTTTGAAGTGTGGTAAGTAGCGCAATAAATTTCATTTTTCATAACCTTTAAAAGGTGACTATTGAAATATTCAGATTCATGTAGAAACACAATAAATATATGCGAAAATGAAGGATATCCAGATCCAAACGATTGTAGCAGGTGCAAGTGCCCTCAAGGTCTCGGTGGTGCAACTTGCACTGATCTCGAATATTCCAGTAAGCTTTCTCGCCATTTTGAAGTGTTATCATCGTTTTTGATCAAAGCTACAGCCAACTGAATCTAAGAAAATCATGCCAATGTTTAAGACTTCTTTGGTTGCATCAAGCTGCGATTTTAAAAGAACTTACTTACATAAGGCAATCTGTGAAAATACGAGCATGTAGGCAGAAAAAGGTGAATGATCTATTCGAATCATGCTCCCGTATAGTCTCAGGATTAGGCCGTAAATTTTCTAGATTGCCTTTTACTTACTTGAGAATATCCCATTTTGTCCCAAACCATTCAACCATAATAACTGAGAAAAACATAGGCTGTGGAGGTGAGATACAAGCGGATTACGAATGGCA